TGCAGCATACTTGACTCAGTCACACAGAGCCATTATATGCCACTAATAAGTGATTAATTTGTTGGCAGAGGGTCAAGTGGGTGAGGGAGTTGTAGCCTTTGGAGGATGTCCTCTTCCCTTTTGTGTGACAGGGTGAGCTGTTCATCTCCTGCCAGCAGTCAGGTCCCTTTATAAATAATTGTGTGATAAATGCAATATGAAATAAAGCCTGGCAGCTCTCCTTGGAAGCAGATGAACTCGTTGATGGTCCTAGGCCATGTTCTGCAGTGATGTTGTATCTGGCACTGTGGCAGGGCAATGCAGGCTGCAGTGGATTGCACGGAAGGGGAAGGTCCCTTGCATTGCTTTCTGGCATCTCCCTTTCCCCAAACCTCAACAGGGCAGAGATGGGATGGCTGCTGGGGGAGGCAGGGCTGCCCCTCCCAGTTCTTCTCTAACTCATGCAGCCCCATGGCTTCCAGGGGATATTCCCAGCTGTGGTGGACGCTGGCTTTTTCACAGGTGATGGGGCAATATCTCTTCTGGGGTTGCACATGGCTCCTCCTAAATCCTGTTCGCAAAACCTCTTCCCTCTTATACCCTGGCTTTGTGGGGGTGACCTACCCAACAGAGGCAGCAACCAAAGCCAGCACACTCCTGGCCTGATACCCCAGTGAGCTCAGGAGACAGGAATGTCCAGTGTGTTGGTAGAGGGTTCCTGAGTTTTTCTGGCGCAGGTCTGCAAAGCCCAAAGCCTCTGGGAGGCATTTGATTTTCCTTTCTGGAATTAGCTTTAGTGCTGAAGGTTGGGTTTGGGCCAGCAAAGCTTCCTTTGAGCCGTCAACCATGCAAAGGACTCCTCGAGTCTGCTGAGTTTCCCTTAAACACAGCTCATCTGGTGCCAGAAATTTCCCTTGCCTGAATATTAAAATCTCCTCAAGTGCTGGTGAGGAATTGCCCAAAGGAAATGTGACCTTCCCAGCCATGCTGGCTTGTCTGGAGCGGGTGTTTGTGGCCATGTGGAGCAGGGCAGCCAGAGTGTGGGTGCCTGTATTGCTGTGCTGCAGGAAGGGGCGTTTTGTAGTGCAAACAGAAATAGAGCCCCTCCCTTGGCTGGGGGTCCAGAGGGAGGTGAGGTCAAGAGCTGGATGTGAAACAGGCAGCTGGCCTCAGTCAGAGCAGAAATCTGAGCATCCCCAATGCTTGGCAGGCAGTGTCTCTGTGAGCACAGCTGAACCAAGGTGCTTTCAGCTCATCCTTACACCTGCAGGATGTCCTCAGGAAGAGAGAAGCCTATTCCACAAAGAGTGTTTGGTTCAACCAAGACCTCCAAAAGCTGTTGGCAGAGATATAGGGATCATGTAAGAGAAATGACCCAGCCCTGTGACGAGCTCTTGCTGGAGCAAATCTTGCCACAGCTCTGGGCTGCTGCGGCCACTGAGGTCTCTTTACCTTTTCTCCTCCCTACTCCAGTCACACTAAAGTTTGTTAAAGGGGCTGAATTTCCTTTCACATTGCATGAAAATCCCTCTATAGAGGGATTTTATGAAGACTGGATGCAGGAGTGTAGTATGCTGTAGCTCATCTTGCAACTCCTCAATCTTCAAGTCTTGCTTTCTGTTTCCCCATCCTGTGATGGGTGAAATGAAGTTGAGAACTCTTGGTCCCAGTGGCAGCTATGAGTCTGCTTCTTCCCCAAACCTCCCCATCCTAGGATCAGCCTGGGACAGTGCTGGCTGGAGGTGAATATACGTGGGATCAGCCTGATCCTGAAGCCCTGGGTAATTATTTCTAGAATTGGGAAAGACAGTTGTGAAATACCACTGTGGGCTGAGCATGTTGAGTTACTGAATGCGCTTGTGAACAATTAGAGCAACCGGGAGACCATGGCCCCGTTTTAGTAAATGGAACCATTTGGAAATTAAATCTTTCCACCTTTTTGCTTCGAAAGGCAATTTAACAGCTGACCCCCTGCTCACACTTGTGCTTGTCCAAATTGAAATGGCACATTTTGTCTGGGGTCCAACAAACCCCTGTAGCTGACCCAAACACAAGGACTTTGGCAAGGCTTAGTTTCTCATTTGCTTGTGTTTTTTGCTTCATTTTGTTTTGTTTGTTTTTCACTAAAGACAAATATTTGTGCTGCTAGGTCAGTCCAAAAGTAATCCTCCTTTTTCCTCTGCTTGTCAGTGTGGTTACTGAACCCCAACGCATCACTTATTAAACCTCACTCCCCTAGCAGCCTGTTTGAGCATGACAGAGAGCTCAGAATCTGAAAATAAACTCGGTTTAGGTGTTTGCTGAAGGGTGCTGGTATTTTTGAATCAGCGGGGGCTTTATCTGCAGCCCTTATTGCTGAGCAGAGGCATACTGCTCCTAGCATTGCAGCCCCCCCAGGATGCTCAGAGTGTCTGAGGCACATCCCAGCACAACAGTGGGCAGCCTGGAAGCTGGAATTGCCCTGCGACAAAGCTGGATTGCTCTGTGGCAAAGGGAGCTGGGAAAGTTATTTCTCTGCTTTTGCAGAAAAATCCCCGTCTCCCCAAAACAGTCGCCCCCAGCTCTGTCCTCAGCCTGCTCGAAGGATGCAGGGACAGAATAGCGAGCCGGTGAGGTCATGGGGAGAGAGTTAGTCACATCCAACTGGGAAAGGGAGAGGGCTGCCAACCAGTGTTGCTCTCACAGCGTGGAAAGCTCGTGTGGTTCAGAAGGGACCCCCCCCTCCAGGCTCCCTAGAGCACCCTGGCCAAGCTGAGGGTGTTGGTGGAGCACCGCCTCTGCAGCAGCTTCCCAACGAACTGGAGGAGGGAGTGAAAGCTTTAATCGAAATCTAACTTGTTCTGGCATAAACGTGGACTTTGCTTCTCGTAACTGGGGTGTTACAGGCAAGAGGGGGTTAAGAGCCTTTCCAAATTGGAGACTATCTGGAGCTGTCGCACAAGGGAGGGAGATCATGGCAGAGTTTAATGAATGACTTCATTTATATATTAAAAAAAAAAAAAAAAACAACAACATGGTGGCTTCCTGCCAGGTCCACAGACAAGGGTTTCTATGGGAACCTAAGGAAAAATAATAAATAGGAGTGTGGGATGAGTAGGGAAGGGAGGAGGGGAGCCCAGGCTCTGGTCTGGGTCTGCTTTGTTCCTCATGGAGACCAAGGTGGCAAGGGGCGATGAGGGGGTAAAAAGGGAAAGAGCTGAATTTGGTGCTTGCAGAAAGACTCTACCCAATATAATGCAGACAGTAACTACAAGCAGTGGAGCATTCTCTTGGGCTTGTCCTGGGGTCTGGCTTGTTCCCTGCACCTCTGTAGGCACAGCAGGCATGGGCAACCTTTCTTCATTGGGCTTACAACCTGGCTTTGCTGCCTTGGGGCAGGTGGGAGCTAGGGAGGGCGATTTGGAGTCCTCCCCAGCTTCCTGACAGGGTGGTGGTGGGACCACTCTGCAAAGGGATGCTACTGGGGCTAAGTTCAAGAGTTCTGCTGGCACTGCAGAGAAATATAGGCTCTGAGTGAAAGACTAATAAGGTTCACAGTGTAATTAGAAGGGCTAATTTTTCATCAGTTAATTCCAATGGGCTTCTTTTCCCCCATTGCTGGGAGAGGTGGTTATCTGTCCTGAACCTCAAAAGAAAACAGCTTTTTTGGTGAGACCCATGGTGAAGTGAAGCCTTCTCACGTGCTTCATAGTCCAGACTGAGGGCAAAGCTGGGCAGGCTGGCAGAGTGGCACTCCTGGGGCCAGCTGAAACCTGCCCCTCATTCACTCAAACTGGGCTGAAACAAGTCTCAACTAAGGCATTTCTGTTGGGGTTTTTTCCCCCATTTTCCTTTCCACAGGCTCTTTGTTCCAGTCTGAATGATGTTGCACTGTATCTCTCATGGAGCGGGTTCATCCTAAGAGGACCGCGGTCCTCAGGGTGTGCCTGAGGTGGGGAAGTGCAGTTGGGCTGGGTCCTGCTGCTGGTGGGAGATCGACTTCCCAGCTCCCATGTGTGTGCCTTCCTGAAAGACATTTCTGTAAACAGGCTTGAAAATGCCAGGGGAAACAGCCTTTGTGTCTGTTTTGGACCTGGCTGAACCAGAGGTGAGTGGGGTGAGGAGGCATCTGCCCCAGCATGAGCCCCAGCATCAGCCCTGGGTACCACAAATCAGACCTGCCCAGCTCCAGCTGCCATCACAGGCCCTTTGGGTGAGTGGTGGCCACCCCATGGCATGTTCCTTTCTGCCTGAATCTCAGCTGGTGCTGCCAGTGAAGCAAGAGCTGATCCCGTGTGGGGAGCGACTGGACTGGCGTTCTCACCAGAGAAGGAATGTGGCATCCACCTTATCGCTTCCTTGGGGATATAAGAGGCTGTTCTGCTGTCAGAGGCATAATTATCCAACAGTTGAGATGTCTGGGAGAAGCCAAGGCAGGTTTTTCTTTGCAGGGGTGGCAGGAAGCCAGGCAGGGCAGGGCAGGACATAGATGCTGTCCTCTGCCACTGTTTCCTTGGCTCCTGGTCAGGCAGGAACAGCTCAGGTGCCTAAGGAAACTCATGCCCAGGGCATAGATCTTGCCTTCCGTGTCCCAAAGCTCAAGATGAAGGTGTTGGATATCTTTCAGCACTGCAAGACCCTTTACAAACCCCTTACAGGACCATTTACAAACTCTTCAGGAGTGCAAAGCCGTTTTTGCAGAGAATGGTGCTTTGCAATGGGCTTCAGCCCACAGGCAGGTGGCTGGTCTGGTAGGAAGAGGTTATGTACCATATCTTCCTTCTAGAGACTTGCAGGCTCTCCTGCACCCCTCTCCCAGCGCCTGTGTCCCACCTTATCCTTGTCCATCAGTGAGTCCCACTGCAGAGCTGTGCTGGAGGATGTGAGGGTGCCACTTTGAACACTGCCGCTCATGGTGGGAGCACTCCTCTGCAGAAGGCTCCTGCTTGCTGGAGGGAGCCCAGCCACCTCAGAGGGCTGTTAGCAGGTTTCACAGGACTGCCTGATGGCATTAAAGATGGGTTTTCCCTCTGGCTTGGCAGGCTGACAGCACAGTGGAGCGTGGAAGATGAGGAGGAGGCGGCGAGAGAGCGGCGGCGGCGGGAGCGGGAGAAGCAGCTGCGGTCCCAGGCAGAGGAGGGCTTGAATGGCACCGTCTCCTGCTCAGAGAGTGCAGCTCTGGCACAGGAAAACCAGTAAGAAATACCCGTGGATAAATCCTTCAGCAACACACATTTCCTTGCAGCAAACCCCTCCTGCAGCCACCGAGTGTGTTTCCCCTTTGTTTGGGGTGGTTTGGGGAAGATGGGGAAGTTCTCTAATAGGTTTGGGCTGGGGCATTTAGCGCACACTGGCAAACAGTGTGCTTTCTTGTTTGGGCAGAAAGCCCCAGAAGTCCTGCTTTGATTGTTTTCTTGCCTAGAGGATGGGGGTTTTACTGCCCTGAGAGTTTACACTGGGACAGCTTGGGGCAGGCTGGGCTCTGGCAGGGAGTCCCCATTGCCAGTGATTTCAGTGCTTGGTTAAATTTCAACTTGGGAGTCATCCTACACCAAAAGTAATGGAGTTTCCTGATATGTGCAAAGACAGATGTGCCTGAGGATGTGATGCACAACCAGTGCAAGCAATCACCTATCCTAGCTGGGCTTTCCATTCCTCCCCCAGAGGATGCTGGCCTAGCACTGGGAAGCATAAAGCAGCACCTGAGCCGGTGCAGTTCACAGCTCTAAGGGTTAAAATTAACTTTGTGCTTTAATGGGGCAAATCCTAAATGGACATTGCTCAGGAGGCATTTATGGAGATGCTGAGCTATCTGCTGTCAAAGAGGAAACACCTGGAGAAGGGATAAGATGACATCCACAGCATGCCACACCACATCCTACTGCAGCCTCCCCACATCCATGGTTCAGCAGCCCAGATGCTGTGCAGCACTGGGGCTTGCACAAAAACTAGTCTGCATTCTGAATTGCCAAATTCTTGTCTCAAAGTCCTCAGTCTTACCACTGTTTATGTGTTCAATTTATTTCTTAATCTATTGAACACAGTGGAAAAGTGGTGGCAGGATTTGGAATTATAGTCACAGAGAAGCAACATCTTCATTTTACTGGAAAAATAACAGAAGTTATTTATGAAAACTTACTCTTTTTCCATTAAAATATTTTTTTCCAAGATACTTCCAAAATTATTCAGGACTTCTTTTTTTTTTCTTTTTCTTTTGATAAAAGCATAGCAAAACACCTTCACAGTCTTTTGTGGAAATACTCACGGTGATATTCTGCAGACAAAACCGCTGCAGTCTGCTCTAAAAGCAAACAGAAGGTCTGGAAAGTAATGACACTCATTAGCTTCTCCAAACCCCCCTTCACACAGGGGCTAGGAAATAATTTGAAAAGGTCTTTAAAACAGCAGATGAGCTCTCTGGTCTGTGCTTTGCTGGTTGGTGCTGTGAGCAGCCTCAGGCCAGAGCAGCATGCAGCAGCCCCAGTAACCTAGGGGCTTGCAGGCTCCAGTCCTGTCGGCGTGGGCAGAGCTGTGCTGCTGGCCCTGCAGGACCATTGGCATTGCCCAAATTTAATTGAGTGCTTAAGAGGGCAATGACAAGAACAACTCTTAAAATGAAGGGCTTTGGTCCCTGTTCCATGATCCAAAGCTTGCTGGGCCATGAGGATGTTTCTTCTTCTCTGGCCATTCCCTGGTTTTGTTTACAGCTGCTGACAGCCACCTGGGCTTGCTCATGCAGCCAGGGTCAGCCCTGGCTATTAATCTTCTGAAAAGCTTCATTCTCTCTTGTGTAAATCCTGCCCTCTCCTTCCTGTGGCTCTTCCCACGCTGGGACTCATCCTATCCATGTCACTCCCCTTAGTTCAAACCCACCCCTGCATTTCCTTGCTCCCAAGGGACAGAGTGAACCTCCTGTTCTCCCTTACCCCTGCTAAAGAAAACCAGAAGCAGTCAGGAGAACAGAAGGTTTGCAGGAAAGACAGGGGTGTTCTTGGGAGCCAGAGGGATGGACATCAGCTGAAGCGGTGATGATGGGCCTGTCCTGGCTTTGTGCTTCTCCTGGCAGTGTGTTTGCAGAGAGACACGTGGAAGTGGCCAGATTTCTAACAGCATTCAGCCAGTCTCCCTTGCTCCCTGGGAACTTTTCTGTTAGCCTGAGCACACATTGTGGCCAGGGCCACAAATACTGGAATGATTTTGCCGTGGCTATCTTCAACAGTGGAGCTCACCCAAAGAAGGATAAATGGAATAACTGGAAGGAGAGAAGGACTGTGTCAGGCTGTGGCTCTTTCAGGCCAGGTTTAGGCCTTCTTACATGCCCCTCAATGCTAATTTTCTTTTTTGCTGTGTTTCAGCTACGACTTCAAGCCATCTGGGCCTTCGGAGCTGGAGGAAGATGAGGGGTTCAGTGACTGGTCCCAGAAGCTCGAGCAGCGCAGGCAGAGGTGGGTAGGGCACAGATGAACCAAGGGCAGGGATATCCATGTCCCCAGTAAAAGGACTGGCCCTGAGGAGGGGTGACCAGACCCAGGGCAAGTCTGGCATGTGGTAAGAATGAGGCCAGAGCCTGGAGCATCAGCGGGGCACAACAGACCCTGCACCACTGGGCCAGATGCTCCCTGCCTGCCATTTGGGCTAGCAGGGAGGAATGGCCCAGGGGCGGCCCCAGGCTTTGGGGATGTTTGGATTGAGCTTTGTGCTCCAAGCAAGGGCAGCCTGCCAGGACGCCTGGGCTTGGAGGAGTGACAACAGCAGATTTAAGCCACCTGAGCTGCTGCAGGGGCTGAAATGGTCTCTAACATAATCCAGGCCAGCCTAAAAAGCTGTTCTAAGTTATTGCTGCTTCCTAGCTCATGTCAGCATAGTGGGTGTTATGGCCCCAGCCCACCTGTGCCTGACTCCTCTTGGAGCAGGAAAGAAAAAGGAAGCAAAGAACTCCGAGAGGCGCTTGTGTGCCAGCTGTTTAGTCCCCATCTCCCATCACTCCTCCCTTACAGAAATAAACCAAACTCCTGCCTTAACCACTTCCCTTGGATACCATTTACCTGCACATGAACTCTTGGCAGCTTGATTTTGTAGGGAATTTTTGGCATAGCCTCTTCTTTACCCTGAAGAATTCTTTGCACAGAGAGGTGGTAGATGCCCCTTCCCTGGAAACATTCAAGGTCAGGTTGGACAGGACTCAGAGAAACCTGATCTGATTAAAAAGGTTCCTGCTTATTTCAGAGGGATTGGGCTAGATGACCTTTAAAGGTCCTTTCCAACCCAAACTATTCTGTGACTGAAAAAGTGCTTAAGATTAATATTTACTGCTGAATAAATAAAAAGAACTCAAAGTTTTGTTACTTTTCCCCAAATGTTGTGGCTAAACCGTGCTGCAAGCTGTACCTTTGCAGCCCTGACCCCACAAGCACTTCTCAAGCACCTCCAAGGCCCAGCACAACGTGATTATAACATCTGTGGGAACAGTTAGAAATCATCTGCTTTTTGCTTTGCTGCTTTTTTTTCCAGTCCCCCTTGCAAAGAGCTTTTCTGCTAGTCCCTCCTCGGCCTTCAAAAGAGAATTAGTTGGAATTAACATTATCCTCCCCAGGTATTTCTTGTTGGGTTTTTTATGTGATGCTTGTGTTATCCCTGCAGGGAGGGGAGAGTGCTGAGCAGGGCTCTTTATGGCAGGTGAAGGCCATCAGTGAGAGCTGGTACTTTAAAAGCAGAAGCTGTAGCTAAAGGCTTTTTGGGTAAGGGCTGGTTGGGAGGCAGCTGAGGGGGCTTAGACTCTGAGGACCTTTTTCTAAAGGGCTCTGCTGGGCTTGCTTCATAGCAGGGGCTGTGCCCTGTGAAGTCCTTTCAGCAGCTTTGTCCCTGGGGACTTGCTTCACCCAAAGGACGAGCTTGGAGTGTGCTATGAGCACAGGTTGGTTGTGTGTCTGCCTGTGATTCCCCATGCTGGGACAAGCGGTGCTGTGGTCAGGATTTCCCAACTTGTTAACCTGAAGAAGAACTAAATTCTGGGTTTTAAGTGGTGGCTGTGAAAGAGTGGATGGAGACAGCTGGTCTCCACTGGATGGAACTCAATCAGGTCCTTGCATTCTCTGAGGACCTTGGTGCTAAGGGATATTTTCTCTTTGGTCCTGCTTCTCCCCTTTAAGGTAGGAGATCCATGCTATCAGCTGTGTGCAAGAAGGTGAAGCTGTGCCAGCCTAGCTGCTTCCCATGCAACATTGCTGTGGTGTGAAAGGCATCCTATAGGCTGCACTGTGTTTGCTGGCCTTAATTTTTAGTGTGAGCTTGCACTTGAGCTGGAGACATTGCTGGCATCCTGGTGGAGAGCTGCTAGCTTCCTGGGCCTTCAGAGCCTGTTTGCTCTTGGTGAGAGGATGATGAGAAACAAGTCAAGCAAGCCAGCATATTCATCATGTTTTTTCCCCGTGTGGTCAATGTAGAGGTCTGGCTGGTAGCTGACCTGTGAGCTGCCTTCCCAGCAGCACAGAGGTGGGTGGAAAGGTCTTGTTGGAACTTGTTCTTGTGTTTTGGTGCTGCCTGTTGAGGGAGGAGCAGTGAGTCAGCCTTGCCCTTTGGCAGCTGCCTGTTAGCCAGCTCTCTAGCCCTGCTCTCTCAAGCCAGGCGATTTTCTAAGAACTGAGTGGGAGGAGAAAGCTCTTTTGGCTGGGGAAAGTAAAATGGCAATAACAGCTTGGTGCATGGCTTTGAGCCAGGGAGAGTTCTGGGGTTCTGTATTCGTCCCTGTGCCCAAAGGCATGGGATGCTCTGCTTTTGCAAAGCTGATTGCATAAACATACTCTTGGGTCTCCTCTTGCAGCCTCAGAGACTTGGAGCAAGTCTCTTGTACCAAACCCATTGTGGATTTTTTTAAATCCCTAAGCCAAGGGATGACCCCATCTGCTTTGGAACTCATTTGTTTTGCTGGGATATGAGATGAGTGATGTGAGTAGAGGTGCAATTTTTTCCAGTGGGCAAAGTGAGGCTTGGAATCAGGTGTCAAAGTATTGCTTGCGAGGCACTGTGCCTTGCCTGTGGAATAATTCCAGTGGAGTGGCTCTGCAGCCTTGCCCTAGGGTGTAGTTTCAGCTTGAGAAGCATATTCATGTGTTGTTGGTTGGGTTCTCCTTCAGCAAGAGATTCTGTTAACATGGAAGATGAGTTTAGGCAGAGAATGGCTGTGTTTGGTGCCCCACATTGAATTAATGCTGGGAACCATGGGGGAAGCATCAAATTTGTGTTTGACTGCAGGATGTTAGCAGGGATTTTAGCTGTAGCCAAGCAGGGAATTGAGCCAGCACCACATCATGGTGGCAGTGTCCTCTCTGCTAGGGTTTTGAGCAGAGGGCTCTTCTCTGCTTTCCTATGGGTCTTGCCCATCATCTTGTCCTGCTGGTACCTTCAGCTCTGCCATAGCTCTTAGTTGAGTTGAGTCCTGGACACTTGAAGTGGGGAAGTGAGATGTGACTGCTGTTGCATCTGGGTGCTTGGAGCTGGCTGTGAGCCCTGGTGTGGAATACCCAGCACGCTGTAGGTTTGGGGAAGTGATAAAATTGGATTTCTAGAGATCTGAGCTACCTCATGGTATCTTTTGGCTCATAACTGTCGTTTTCTTCCTGGATCTCTCCCCCATCTCCAGGTCTCCAAGACAGTCCTACGAAGAAGAGGACAGTGGTGTGAGAGAAGCTGAGGTCAAACTGGAGCAGATCCAGCTGGATCAGGAAAGCCCAGAGAAGACTATGGCTGTCAGAGAGGAAGAGAGGCTGTGCCAGGAGGAAGAAAAGGTTCAAGAACAGGAGGAGCAGGAACAAGCTGAGCAAGAGGTGGGATCAGGAGGTGCTGATCCTCTTCTTTCCAGAGGGCTGATGCTGGGGGCTGCTCTCCCATGCCTTGGCTCACCATTGCTGCTGGGAGTTGAGCCCATGTAGGCACTGATGTGCTTTCATGGCATGACCTGGTGCCACTCTTGCCTGTGTGCTGGGCCTTCTTATGGTCACTGGAGGCAGCCTCTTCCCTTTTTTTAGGGGGTGCGTTTGCTCCCAGAACTTGTGGTGGCTTTGCCATGTCCCTGTCATGCTGAGGAGGAAAGTGTTAATTCTCATGTGGCCTTGTGAGTAGCTTCACATGAGACCTCAAATCTAAATTATACTGCTTGTTTTTCTCTCCCCAGCCTTTATCACACCTTTGGAGTGCTTTGTTTTGATAGATCTCTTAGCCTTGCATTGCTCCCAGCTGAGGTTTTTTTTTGTTCTGATAATTCCTGGATAAGAGGGGGGAGAGAGAGAGAGACAAAGCTGGAATTCAAATGGTGTGCAAGTTAGGCAACTGAGCTTCAAATATCATTTGTAAATGGATTTTGGCTGTCTGGGGCTAGTAAGATTTTTGTATTTGAACTGTGTATTACTCTTTCCGACCCTTTATTCTAAAGGCAGTTTCTCTCTCACTCCTTTTGGCCTCTAAATAAGAAATTAATATTTTCCTATCTCAGTTGTGGTAAGAGATCTTTATAACTGATGCAAGGACCCCTTTTAATACCATTTGGGAATCTTGAACCTGCAAAATTTCTTATTTCTGTCCTCACTTCCAAATGACATATGAGCTTCTTCCTGAATGCTTCCAAATTAGATAATGTTAACTCTAAATTTCTGTGTTTTTATGTTTATTTAGTGTAAAGCAGGAAGCCTGAGAGGGAAAAATCACTGTTGTTGCATAATAAGCAGTTTGACCAACTCACTTCCTGGCTTGTTCTTTTTCTGCACTCAGGAAAAGAAGAGAAGGCGAAATGATGGCGAGAAGGAAGAAGAAACACCAGAGAAACGGCAGAAGGCCCCGAGCCTTGGCAGCCTGGAAGAGGAGGAGCTGTGCTCTGACCACACTGCCGTGTGCTCCACAAAGGTCTGTGTTCCTGGGGCCCCTCTGGGTGCATGACAGCTGCCACAACAGAGCACCCAGCTATTGATGAGGAAAGGTTATCCAGGGCTTTCAGTGATGTGCAGTGGGAATCCCGTTATCTGTCCTGCTACAAGCTCAGACAAACCACATGAACAATTTGCCTCATCTTTCATGGCTGTCAGCCCCTCCTCTCCTCCTACTTTGCCTGCTTGAGCTGTTGGAAGCTGTAGCAATCACTCTAAAAGTCTAAAGTTCGTTGAGGGCTCCAGGGAATATTGTGATACTGGGATACCTGTGCTTTCAACTTGTGTTGTCTTTAACAAAATTCACAAGAACTTAATCGTAATGAAATTTCCCTTCCGAAGGGAAAAAACCCCAATAACTGAAACAGTGGCATTTCTCTCCTACTTAGAACAAAATGTATGACTTAAGTTGTTTAAACAAATGAGGATTTATGTTCTTTGAAGCATTGTGTCCTTCCTGATCACATCTGTCTGCATTGATGCTCTTGTGAAACTTCCATTATTAATACCACCTGAATTGCATCTTATGACTTGTGTTGCATTTACTACAAATCCTCAGTTCTGTGTGTGCTTCTAAATACAATAGATACAGATAAGTGCTTCTGTACTGAATGGGTTTTTTGTCTTTGTAAGCCTTCACCTTTTTGATTGTAGCAGTGAGGGAGATGGTGAGGTGTCTGTGTAGCCTGTTAATCTGCTGTTAGAGCTACCTTTGCTTTTTTTTGGATTTAGTTTTGTGCTATTTGTGGCTTACTCAATATTTCCTGACTCAGGATGATTGTATGAGCACTTCCTTTTGCATCAGCAAATAGATGGCAAGAGGAAGGTTTCATCATCTACAGCCATCAGATTCTTGCTCTTAGTGGAGAATCCATTTTATAGTCAAATTAAAAGAGGAGAGATGTAGTGGGAGTAGATGCAGGCAGGGTGCTAATGCCAAATTTGAAAAGTGTGATGGGGATAGCCAAAGCGTATTCCTGAAGTGGAACTGGTAGGAAAATGGGGAAAACACTTTCAGCAACTTTTATGTGCTGAAACTTCAGTCTTTACAACCCCAAAACAGACATCTTCTTGACCTCAGTTTAACTGCTGCTGCTAGGATTAGCCCAGGGAAAGGTTTAGGAATACAGTCTCTGTTTTGTAATGGTGATGTCAGAGCTCACTGGCACACTAAGCTGGGTGTAAAACTGTTCAGGAAAAATCTGAGCTTGGAATCTTTCCAAAGGAAGGATGATCTTTACACCCCAGCTAGCAGGGCTCTGTGAACACAGAACTAAACACATAGGCCACCAGGAAGGTGTTTTGGCACAGGAAGCTCAGCAGAAGCCCTGCTTGTAGTGAAAGACAAAAGCATCTGCAGTCAGTGGTGTGTTCCCTGCCAGATGTGGCTGGTGGAGGCTGGTGGACATTTGGGGCAGGCTGATGTTGGGTTATGGGGAGATGGGGTGTTATTTGGGGTTCAGAGGGCCAGCATGGCTGAGGGCTGAATTAGGGGGGTGTATGGAGGCAAGGGGGAAATCTTGCGCCAGTCCTATTTCGTCACAGGCTGCTTGTGAGCCTCGAGTTTTGAGGCTGGCAGAATGAACAACTGGGGTTTCTTCTGGCCTTCAAAAAGTGCTTGGGATCAGGGAAATGCACAATTCTCAATGCAAGGAAATGCCAGGGTTGGGGGGAGGTGGTCTCCAAATAGCACAGTGAAAGGTGTTCCTACCTAGACTGTTGTATTAAGATATATTGTCACTTAGAGCTTTTTCTAGGCCCCTCTGTGTTTAACCTCATGTTTTTCATGACCTTTCAGAAGTGCCTGTGTATGGTTTGCACCTGCACACCATCTCCCTAGCAGGGTTGGCAAGGCTTTTACCTATTGACATGTACTTGTATTTGGGCAGCTGAGGCAAAGCTCTGCCAGATTCCCCTTTGAGATTGGTGCTGTGCCCTGTCAGGTACCAGCCTGCCCATCAATGAGCCAGGTGGATTCTGAAGTTATGGCTCAGGGGCAGGCAGCAGCTCCTGCAGCAGCAAGCAAAGGAGAGGGCTGACAGCAGGCAGACAGCCTGCCCAGCAGACAGAGCTGTCTGGTGGGCTTCTGTTCTGCTGCTGTGGGGGACCCTGCAGAGTGACTCTCCCCAGGTCATCTCTGTTAGCCGGGGTTGCACTATTTGCTTGTTCTCTAATGGGCCTCGTGCTCTTGGGCACAGCTGGTAAATGTGTCCTCTATGTGACACTGTCTTGTCTTCTGTTTAGCTAAAATTTAGCACCAGCATCCTGAAAGCATCTTAAAGGATCATTTAGTGCTGTTTTTTATCTGCTAACTTGGTAGGTGATGTTTCCTGTGGCACAGGCAGCAGTTTTACAGGGGGAGAAGGCTCCTTTTTACTTGGTTGCTGCTCCTTGACTCTGTGGGAGCCGGTGTTAAGGAAGCCCCCCCTTTGGCTTCAAGGTGATTTTTCTCTCTGTATGCTTGCTTTCTGGGGCATGAAAGAGTCACAAGGTTTAGCAACATTTCAGCTTTCCTTTCCTGCAGTGGTTGTGAAGTGTTTGCTTGCCTTCCTGCCTTGGCCAAAGAGTTATTGCACAGGAGCCTCTGATGCAAAACTCTTTCCTGATGGCTTGACATGAAGACCTGCCTCACAGGGGTCTTCATGTGCTGATTTGCCCTGTCTGTCTGCTTCTCTGGTGTGGATAAGTTGACCTAACTCATGCCTGTGCTGCTCCCGTGCTTGGCTTCTCTTCTGCAGATGTGGTCTCTAGTTTTCCCCCTTGTCTTTCTGTACTTTCCATTTCCCTTTTTGTATCTGGTTAGGAAACCAAAGGTCTGAGAGAGACCTTCTCCTTCACCAGAGGGGGTCGAGAAAATGGTCTTGGTTGGTGTTTCAGCTGTCAGTCAATTTACACATTGCTGGATTGCCCCTGAAATTGGTTGGGATTCTCTCTCCCTGCTTGGAAAGAAGGAAGAAAGGGAATGCTCACTGTCTCTCTGATCATTAGAGGAACATGGGGGCTGACTGAGGGGTTTCTAACCAAAATATGGGTGAAAGATCAGGGCCTAGAAATGGTCAACTAAGATGACCTGCATCCATCTGAGGTGCATGGACAAAAGTTACATATTTGTCTTCCTTCTCCCTTTCAGATCACGGACAGAACTGAGTCGCTGAACCGCTCGATACAAAAAAGGTATTTCTGGGGTTGGCCTCAGGGTAAGGCGGGTCACTTGCCGCAAATGGACATTGTCAGCAGGTCCTGCTGTGGGGAAGGGCAGGAGTGGCAGGCTGCCTGTGGCCCACAAAGCCCTCCCTTCTGCCTCAGCACTGGGGGAACACCTCAATCCTCCTCTCTGTTCTGCAGTAACAGCATAAAGAAGAGTCAGCCTCCTCTCCCTGTGTCCAAGATTGATGACAGGCTGGAGCAGTACACACAGGCTATTGAGGTGGGTTGCTGTGCTGTCTCTGCCCCCACCCTCCCAGGAGCCCTCTTTGCTGGTGTTGCTCTCCCACCATGCCTCTTAGCCTTACCATCCGTGAGATGACAGCTAAAGTGTCTTCTCTTGGATGGGAGCAATCCTTGCTCCTGTCTGTATGTCCCTCCACAGCATGAAGTAGGTTTCTTTAGCAAGCTGTCCCATGCTTGTATTTTCATGTTCTCTGCTTAAAAAGTGGGAGTATCTGAGAGGAACTAGTAGGACTTTACAATTCTCCTTTTACAACCCCTTATCTCCAAGGACCTTCCAGGGTTAGAAATAATCAAGAGACACACTCTGATGGCAAACTATCTGTTTATTTTCCAGACTTCCACAAAGGCTCCAAAGCCTGTCCGGCAGCCCTCTCTTGACCTTCCCACCACGAGCATGATGGTAGCCAGCACAAAAAGCCTCTGGGAGACTGGGGAGGTGACAGCTCAGTCTGCTGTGAAGCCCTCAGCCTGTAAGGTACAACCCTTGGAGGACTTGCCCTGCTTGTGCTGGAGGCAGGGACTGGTCCCTGGGCATAACGTGCCTTGTCCTTGTTTATCCTGTTTATACATCTTATTTGTGGGGCCTACAAGCTCCAAAAGCGTCTCTATTAGAAGTCTTTCATCACGTTGTAAGGCTTTGCACCTTGGAGATTCAGTTTTTTCTGGCAGGGTCCCCAACTGTTCCTTGGTGGTACATCCAGGAAAAGCTCTGTGTTGGTGGTTGAGGTGCTGATTTGAAATGGTAATAAAATCAGCTGGTGGGGAGAAGGAATGTGGCTCCTGCAGGGGCTTGGGCTGAGCTCCAGTTGTCAGGCATGAAGTTGCATCTAGTACTAAGGTGGTAAATGTTGTAAATTTGGAAAATCCAGAGTATTATGTGTTGCTCTCAGTGATTTGACTTTCTGGATGTTGTGGGGAAGGCTGGTTCTGTAACACATTAGTTGCAAATCTGTGTTTATGAGAGCAGAATTCCTTATGGTAGAGAAGCCTTGATGTTTACATGTCCTAAATAGTTAATGAACTTAAGAAAATAAACATCTTGGAGCTAATTCAGACTCTTGTGGAAGAATGATAGGAAAATATAGGATATACTGGGGACAGGAAGATGTTTTCACAGTCGTGGGTTTTAGCAGCAGCTGTTACAGGTCAGATTATTATATTATATATATATATTATATTATATATTATAAATAAAAAAAAAGAGGTCGTATATGTGGGTTGGAAATGGATGTGCACAAAGACACATTCAGCAGCAGTGAAGGGTAATGAAAACATCATTTTCTCAGGATATTGTGGCTGGAGACATTGTGAGTAAAAGAAGCCTTTGGGAACAGAAGGGGAGTACCAAACCTGAGAGCAGTGTCAAGGTGAGTTGGTGTCTGTGGCTGTGAGAGCACTTGCTCTGCTGAAAAAGAAAAGAGCTGTTGACTGGATTGGAAGTATTGAGAAAATTATGTTCTGTATGGATGAGGGCTGCCTGTATCTATCAATGCAATTCCATGCTTAAGAGCTTTTCCCGACAATGAATTGCTATTGGTTCAGCTCTAATGAAAGCAGGGGCAAAAATACGTTTACATCTAGTAATTCTGAAAGGTCTCTTGAATAGCTTGTTATTCTCAGCCCATGAGCTGGGAGTCCCAGCCTTCTAGGCTCAAATGGAACTGCAAATCTGAGTAATTTTGCTCTTGTTATGCTTTTTGGCACTGAGTGTAAACAAAACATGCAGAACTAAGCAGAACTGAACCTAAGACAGCATCGCTTGCAGATGGATCTGGGGTTTTGTGGGAATGTTTGTGGAAATGTCTTCTAAAATGCAGCAAGCAGCTACTGCTCAAACTATCGAGGCTGGGAGAGGAAGATCAAAGTATCTTGTCAGTCCCTGTGTTGAAACTGCCACTATCTGGTAAATCCCACAATCTCTTGCCATAGATAAAAGCAACCCTGGCTCGGGGCTCTTAGATGAGCCCTCCCTCACGATGCCTGCATTGCATCTTTCCTATTGCATGTCCTGTTCTTGTTGTGTTACCTTATGCTTATAGAAGGTGGTGATGGATCTGTGCAGAGAGTTTGTGTGAAGGAGGCAAGAAGGCAGTACAGAATGGGCTGTCTCCAAGTCCTCTGGGATTAAAGGCAACTGTGTCATGTGCTCCTCTGGCTTCAGTTGTTTGATTTTTTTGACTGCCTGTTTAATGGAGAAAAATTCTGACTTTGGGTCTTCCTTTCTCTCCTGTTCAGTCCATTCCTTCTGGCAAAAAGTATAAATTTGTTGCAACAGGCCATGGCCAATACAAGAAGGTGTTGATAGACGATGCTGCAGAGCAATAGCATGTCTGGAGAACTCATTAACCAGGTAGGTGGGATGTGACTCTGATGTGTGTGACAAACTCCTGGGCTGTTCTGGCAGGATGCTGGGGTTATTTCTGCCAGCAGCACTTAGGGTGAGTTGGAAGGTGCTGTATGGAACAGCTGGAGCCTTGCTTCTGGGCCTGACTGGCTGGGCTGCAATGGAGTGGGTACACAGCACGGTTTGTTTTGGTCTCTGCCTTTCTGATGCTGCTAGGAAGCTGGATAGCTCTGTTTGTTGGATCTTCAGGGCAGTCTCTGAGCTGCTGCTGCTTGGGTGAAGATGTGTTTGCCTTTGCTAGTTCAAAGGAATGGTCTCTATCTGCTGCCTTTCCTTATGCTCTCTTAAGTGTTAGCTGGAGATATCTGAATATCTAGTAGATATTCTGGCTGAGTATGGGGGCTGATGTACTTCTGAAATTCAAATGTTTCTGGGGTCTAATTCCCAGATTTACTGAATTAATCAGGGAGAAAACTTTTAATGACTTCAGTAACCTCTCAGAATCAGTCTGTAATAAGGTTGCAGCAGGAAGGATGTGAGCATCTGCTGTACTGGGTAGACCAACAGAGCAGAAAGGACTGTTCTCTGATGTGCAGCACGGGGAAGGCAGAGCTGGGTTGCTGTCTCTGTGCTCTCTTGAAATGGTCTTTGGATCTCGTGTTCCTATTGCATTTATGCTCATAGATATCCTGGTGTTATCTTGAGTGGATGATAGTAGAGGCTTATGGCAATAAGAAGGAATGGCATAGGGGGAGGTGATAACTGGTTGGATCCAACTGGGCAGCATCTGGCACAATGAGTGGAGAGGAAGTTGAGGGTGAAAACAAGCTCATTCTCTTTTTTATTTTTTTCCCTACTGTAAAAAAGAAGCTTTATTTCATTGCCAAGGTTAAAATAGCTCTGCCTGCTACAAAACACCTTTTGTTTCTGAATTCTTCTGGGGCCTGTGTTCCTTCTTTCCCCCTCCCTCCCACCCTTAAGGAGCTGGCTTCTGAGTGTTGCATATTGTTTTGTTTGTTTAGGCTTTTTTTCCTTTTGTAGTGCCCATTTAGAGGAGACGCCCTTTTGAATGCTACTTTGAGATGGGCAGCAATGCAAGCCCAAGACTGCCTGAAGCTACATTTTTAGTCCACAGAGCTTGGATCTTCAACTTGCTTTTCTGCCTGTGACTTTGAGAAACCCATTATGAGGTCTCCCCTTTGATAAGTCTCCTCTTTTTCCCGAAGTCTATTTCAGTGCACCAGGTGGGAACCTAGTGAGCTTCCCTTCTCAACAGCAAACAGGTTTTGCTAGGTTGTCAGCAAGTTTTGTTTGCTCTACCTGCAACTCAAATGAAAATGCCTTTGGCTCTGGTCTTTGTCCAGCATCCTTTCCTGAGAGGCAAGGCACTGTCACAGGATGTCCTCTAGGATCCACGCAGCACTCCAAGCAGCCATGGCACAACACTGTTGTTCTGAGTTTGTTCACGTGGAAGTATTTTTTTTTTCTACTGTGAATAGCAAAATGGCTGTGATAGCTGAAGGAGCTTGGCTTGTTTCTGTTCTTAGGTTCTTAGCTGTCTGTTTTATATGCTCTGAGCTCTCTGCTCTCCAGCTCCTCTGCACCACCTTTTGAACTATGCTCATCCTTTTTCCCTACTGCTGGATCACTGTTATGGCCTTCTGGCTCCCAAACCCTTCTGGCTCACCCCTGTCACTTGCTTTACACCACCTTATCAGCTTTCTAGTTGCTTAAACACAGGTGTGGAGTTTTTTTCCTCCTTCCCTCCCTTCCTGGTCTGCAGGACCTCACTGCAGGCTATGGAACAAGGTTGTTTTTTTTTTTTTTTGTAATTGTCAGTTTGGGCTCTTAGCAACTGCCTGATGCTGTTTGGCATTGAAAAATAGGCAGACTCTGTGCCCAGCAGCATTCCCCTTCTCTTCCTCAGCACAGCAGCTCAGGCTGGAGTACACCACAGTGACTTCCAGTGGACAGCCACTGATAGAAATCTGTTGCCTACAGGGATATGTCTGTGGTACTCTCATGTCAGGGTCTGTCTCTGCAGGACTTGCCATGCTTACTGTGTGTCTCTACCCTTTGCTTTTGGGGTAAAAAGGCTAAACCATGCACCCAGATCTGCATTCCTGTCTCCTTCCTTCATGTGGAATTGCTCTCCCTAGTGGCATTTCCCCATCCTTCATCCATGTGCAGTGGGGCTGGGGTGTGAATGCAGCCTGACTGCAAAAGCCTTAGTGAGAGTTGCTGGTTTGCTCTGGGTGGTTGTCCTTGGTGCAGGACAAAAGCAGTTTTAAAGCAGAAATGCTTCTTAAACCGCCTTCACTTAGTCTCCCAAATATAATCGGCATTGGCTGCTCTGCCTCATGCTAGTGCTGTGCTCTTGTGCACACAGACCTTTGTGCAGAGGCATCCATCTGGCTGTGCTGCAGTAAGGTGCCATTAATCACTCTCTGGTAAGGTTGCCTCTATCTGCATTACATGTTTTATGCTGCACTCTTCAAATTTTTGATTCTGCTCGCTGCATGGATCTTTCTCTGTAGCCTTCTCTTGCAGCAATGTTAAATTTCTCTGCAGAGGCTTACCTGGGATTCACCTGTGATTGCTGGCACAATCCAACCTCTTTTTACTTTTTTCTTTGAAAACTGAGGGTTTGAGTAAATCCCCACTCTAGATAATTGGGTTATTCTTCCTACTTGGTTTTTGTGTTTTGAGCGGGGAAGGGGTTATAGAATAGAGATAAGACCAGTAAAGTGAAAACTTAATTGAAGGTTTGCTAAATGAACTGCTCTTATAGCATCACTGCAAAACAGGAAGGCTTCAAAAAAGGAAAAAGGGGCTCTTTGTTTTGTTTCTAAGTCTGTTTGCCGTTTGGCTTGAGGAACTGTTGGTCAGTTCCGTATGCTCTGCACATTCCTCTTCCTGGAAAAGGAAACTGTACACAGCTCTTTATATTCTATTTGGACTAAACATAGCAATCCTATATTAGCTGTATAGGAATACTCCAGCATATGGCAAAGTCCCTTGTGAAACAGAAATAACCAATATCCCAGCTTTCATGCTCACAAGCCTGCTGGCAGTGGAGTTGAAAAAGGTAATACTGGAAAGCCCAGTTGTCTGTGGGTGTGCAGAGTTGGGGCTTTTCCTTTAAATGCCCTTTTATCAGGATATCAGGGACAAGCAAGTGTGAAACTGTCATGATGTTCACCCTGAAAATGAGACTCCATGTGGTTAGCAGAACCCCTCAGAAACCAGCACCTTGTTAAATACAGACTTGGATACCCACATGCTAAAGCAGGGTCTTGTTGGTTATTGTGGATACATTAACCATCAGCTATTGTGGAGAAGACATGGTAAAATGCATAGCAGAACTTGATTACTGAAACAAAATATTCTTCTTTGCATTATTATTTAGTAGACTGGCCTAGGAGGATGTTAGGTGATGCACATTTTGCTAGGCAGAGGAACTGCTTGGTGAGAGCAGGATATCTTACTCAGTCTCTTGTCTGTGCTTTGGGTGGAAGGATGAGTTTCCATTTTCTTCTCAGCAAAATGAGTGTGGGGTACACTCTCTGTAGAGGAGATAGAGAGAGATTATATGTATCCCATTTGAGTTTAGTTTCTAAGACTCCCTAAATATGTGGAGCAACCCAGATTCCTTCATTTCATCTGCAACTGCTGCTGTTCCTAGGATCTATCTCTGTCTTAGATAAATGAAACAAAAAACATCCAGTTCCTTTATCCTACTCTAAACTGATCTTTTTTTCTAGAGACAGCTTGTTCTCTTCCCTGTGTGCCTTCACTCTGTTACTGCATCCAGTGATTGTTGTTGACACTTCTTAAATATGTTTGTTTTCTTGTGGCTCGTGGATATGGTAGTTATGCATTTGAGCTTTTGAATGTATGGAGAGTAACCCTTAAACCTGCAGCATGGGGCTGCTGGCTTGGAGAGGTTTTATTTAATTTCCTTTTTTGCCTTACACTTGGCTCTGCTGGGCAGTGAACTGGGTCGCTGGCGCACCTCCAGGGGCGTGGAGCAGCCTGGCCTCAGTTGACAGACCATCCTGACGCTGTTCTGTTGAAGCTCTTGGCGTGCTCCTCGGCCCCTTTGGGTCGGAAGCGGCTCACCTCGAACACGGTGCTGATCTTTGTCATGGGTTTGGCAGCCAGCTCCTTCAGCTTCCGCGCGTCAAAGCGTGGCTTGTGCAGAAGGATGGGTAAGCGGCGGGGAAGAAAGACGCTTTCTTCCTTCTGTGGCTTCTTTTCTGCTTGTTGTTTCTTCTCCTTGGTGAGTGCCACCTGGTATAAAATGGCATCCCACATCCTCATGGCTTTGGATTTAACCAGCGTGCAGTCTTGCTTGATGACTGCTTGAGCAGCATCCTCTTTATTCTCTTCCTCCTGTCCCAGCTTTTCTGGCTTGGACTCTGGGAAGTTGGTTGCTTCTGGCTGCACCATCAAGTGCTTTCTGAGGCGATGCCAGCCACTGGCACTGGCTGCAGGAGGTCTTGGTGCTTCTACTGATGGTGGTGCTGGCTCAGCCTTGGGGGGACAGCTGCTGTTGGGTAAGCTGGGAGTCACCTGGGGTTCAGGGATGTGTTCTACCTTGGTGTCTGTGGACGTGGACCCGGTACCATCAGCTTGTGCTGGGGTTGCTGTTGCTGGGTGTGCTTGCCTCCAGGGAGCGCTGGATGTTGATGGTTTTGGGATGTCTCTGTCTTGCTTGGGTAATTCAGGTGTCTTGGATCTGGATATGTCAGTGCCACTTCCATGAGTTGTAGGCTTGTTGGTGTGGGCATCAGAGGTGCTGGGCTTCTCTGTAGGAGCAGGCTTGGGAGCTTCATCAGGAAGCTCTGTCTCTGTCTCTGCAGCAGGAAGGAGGGGAGGTTTTGGTGAGGGGGAAGGGGCCTTGCTGTCTTTAGGTGAGGTGGGTGTCTGCTCTGGAGATGGTTCAGAGCTGCTTGTTTGAGGTGCTGGGGAAGTAGGCCTCTTGTCTTCTTGGCTGACAGCTCCTTGGGTGGAGTTTGGTGTGGGAGTCTTAGCCCTGGGTGGCTTGACACTGTGGAAATAAGTGTTCACCTTGGTGACATAGGTAACCTCGGGCACCCTTTCTTTACTGGGTGTGCTGGAAGGAGGAGGCTGGGGGAAAACAGATACTGAAGGCTCAGCTGGAGAGGGAAGGTGGGAGCCCATGCCCTCAGGCTGCTGCAGAGTCTCGGGAGCTGCTGGCTTCTGTAGCAGGGGCATGGCAGAGGAGGTTGTGAGCTTGACGTGTTCAGCGATGCGCCGCTGCTCGGTGACCTTCAGCGTGAAAGGCTTTCCTTTCCGGAACGGGGAGAGGGCACGGTGGTGGACGGCCCTGATGGGGAGGTGGGCCGGCAGGGTGGCCGAGGGGGCCGCTGTGGCATCGGGGCTCTCTGCTGGGGCTGCGCTCTCAGCACATTCCTGGTCGGGGCTGGCTTCGTTCACCGGCGAGAGGCTGGAGCGGAAGGCCTTGCCCTGCTCCGAGGTGAGGATGGCGTTCTTCCTGGCTGCCTTCTTCAGCAGCCGCTGCAGACGCAGGTTGTCCTTGCCAGGCTTTGGCAGGGTGGGAGGGGGAGAAAGGGGGTGGTGGTTGGAGACAGGCTGGGAGGAGGATGATACTGTTATCAGCATTGTCATTTCCTGCAAGAGAAGACCAAGTTTAGAGTTGGCGTGGGCCTAGACGTGGCCTGGATTCTGAAATATTTACATACAAGTCCTCCTCTTCCTCTGTCTAAAAGCTTATGAGTATGAAGTCAATACTGTGGTAGCAGAGTATCAGTCTTTTTGTTATTCTGAGGTAACCTCAGCTAGTCTTGAGGGTGGGTGTGGCAGGGCAAGAGATGTCCTGGGGAGAAGCTGTATTGCCAAACCTGCTCCTGGCATGAGCACAGTGAGAGCTCCTGGGCACCCCAGATGTTCGTGTCTTGGCAAGTCCTAATGGGATTTGGACGGAAATGTCAAGGGAAACAAAGTGGGTTTGAAACTTTGGAGCTTTGAAACATCTCCAGAGGCAAAAAGCAGGAATGTTTAATGGCTTTCCAAGCTTCAGTTATTAATAGTCTGATACAATGTTACATACAACAGAACAGCCATAAACTACATGTGTCATTTGAATCAAAGTCAGCACTGGCCTTGATTAATTTCAGCGGGCATGAAGACACTGCTGTGAAATACAGGGCTTCTCAGAAGCTCTGTTTATCAGTGAGGAAGTGCTTTGTCACAGCACTGACTCTGGCTGGTCTTTTCTTGCTGCATGAAACACAGGGACAACATTTTCCTCTAGGATAAAACCAAATTTTCTCTTTCCCTTGGGAAGCTTTGCCCTTGTCTTGCCTTTATCACTCATTCTTGAACGAAGCAGAAATGGCTTGTGCTGTGGTCTGATCTCCAATGGCAATTGCAGCTTTTTGGCCAATGCTGGGCTGCTCCTGCACAGATGCCTGGCTGCTTTTCCTGCTCTAACTCATCACTGCCTCCTTCCTGGTGAGTGCTGGTCAGTGGAGCAAAAGGGTTTGTGTTGGGGATACAAAGATAAAACTAGTCTCAGTTCTCTCCTTTCTCTTCCTGAGCAAGCTGGGGAGCACCAAACAGCCTCTGACCTGCAGTGACTCTTTGGCAGCCTCAGGAAGGAAGTCTGACTCTATCCTGGCTCTTGCTCAGCACAGAGTTGCTGAGTTTTGCTATGAAATGAGGCATAAATCACTGAGCCCTTAATCCCTAGTTCTGGATGCAACTGAGCATCCTTAAACAAGGAAAGGGAGGACAAGGTGATGTCAGGCTTGCCCAGGGGGCCATTTATTTCATGTGCTGTGTTCTGTTCCTGGTGGCTCCCAGCCTGCTCTGGTTAGTGTGGGTGTGTAATGTTATGCCTACTGTGCTGGAAAACTCACCTGGAAGAGAACTCTGGAAAGTGCAGAACAGCTATTTGTGCTTGAGTGCCCAGTGCTGGCTTTGGGCTTGCAGTGCTGCTGTCAGCACTAGGCTGGGAAGGTGCTCCATACCCAGCAAGTAGGTGGTATGTCTGCCAAAACTGGTTGGGGGTGGGGGGAGAAGGATGATTCTTTATTTTTTTTAAAGGCAGCAGAGAATAAAAGCACTGGAGAGGTGACACGTTGAGCTCAAAAACTTCAAGGTCAAACCCTCACCAGAGTGGATGAGCTGCCCTGCAGGGCAGAGGCTGTTGTGGGCAGTGTCTAGCAAGTGGTGCATTCAGTACTGGAAAGACACGGATCTGTTGGAGCAAGTCCTGAGGAGGACCCCAAAAATGATCAGAGGGATGGAACCTCTATGAGGACAGGCTTGAGAGAGGTAGGGTTGGGGAGTTAGGCTCTGGGGAGACTTCATTGTGGCCTTTTAATATGTACAGGTGGCTCGTAAAAGAGATGGGGACAGGCACTTTAGTAGGGCATGTTGCAATAGGACAAAGGGTAAAGCTTTTAAACGAAGAGGGTAGACTCAGACTAGATATAAGGAAGAAGTTGATTTGGTTATTTTTTTTATGATGAGGGTAGTGGAACACGTTTCCCAGAGAGGTGGTGCATGCCCTGTCCCTGGGAACATTCCAGGTCAGGCTGGAGGGAGATCTGGGCAGCCTGATTTAGTTGCAGATGTCCCTGTTCATTGCATGGGTGTTGGATTAGATGACCTTTAAAGGTCCCTTTCAACTAAAGGTCCCATTCAAGCTATTCTATCATTTTATGATTTACTTTAGCTGTAGGCATGAGAGACCTGCTGTTTTCTGTGAGGGGGCTTGGAGGGGATTTGTGTCAGCTGGGGATGACAACTGTTGGACATTCCCAGTGTCTTACCAGCTTCATTCCTTAGGCACAAGGCTGTCATTAGGATTTGCTTTGTTCCAGGAGCTACTCTTAGAGGCAAGTCTGCACTGTTCCAAAAAAAGACTGAGAGCCCATTCCTTTGTCATGTACCTGCTTTTTTCCCCAGCCTCGTGGGTATTTTAGATTCTTCTGAGTCTCAAAATGTCTCAGTTGGAGTGATATGTAGGTACTTTTGTGTGACACTACTCTGGCTCTGTTTGTGTAGGAATTGGTAATTGCTTGTGGGGGTTTTTTTTGTGCATTTTTAAAAATCTGCTGAAGGATGAGCAAATACATGCACCTCGTGGTAGGATTTATTGTGGAATGACTTAATCTGTTCCTGTTTAATGTAGTTCCATGGACAGCCTGTACTACAAGATGAGCTATGGTCCAGCAGCACTGGTAAACCAGATTTATAAGGTTCACCTGCTTCAGGCTTGTGTAGGGAATACTAAAGAGGCAGGGCAGTGAACTTCCCAGCTACTGATCAGCTCTTGGAGTGTTTTGCTTGTCCTATGGACTGCTGCACTTCAGAAAAATGCAGTTCCCCACGTGAGTCAGAAGGATCTTGCCTGGGATTTGCTGCAAACTACCAGATGCTACTGGGAAAGTATGGGAGCTCTCAGAGTGGGAAGTTAAGTATGCAAACACCAGGAAAATCCCTCTGCTCCCAAAGTCAGAGGCTGCTGTATAACCTCAAGATTTGTTGTCTCTTACAATAGTCTGTACTCTTCAAATCAATCTTGCTGCTATCTCAGCTTCCCATCTGACTTGAAACCTGCTGTGCTGTGGGTCTTGGAGCCCTTATGGATGGTGACTTCCATGGCATGTGACTGTATTGGAATCTGTGTGCTTGACTAATGGAGCAGTGAGAGGCTAAGAGACAGCAAAAGGAAATCAGCTGTTTAATTAATTTGCCTTCTCTGTCATGCCTGGCTTTGTTTTGAATCTCCTTCAGAGCTTTCTGTGCCCAGGAGAAATTCTCAACAAGGAAGATTTGTCTTCCCCCTTGCCACCTAATGAAGCAAAAGTAAAGGGACAGACAGACTTGCTTTATTGCCAGTGAAAAGCCTGAATCTAAAAACCTGGGGACAATAGGGGAAGCACCGCCTGAGAAACTTGTGTGGGTTTGAGATAAGATGGAAGGAAGTGAACACAGAAGTCAAGAGGCTTTCAAAGGGTTAAGTTTCCCTGCTGCTGGTTGAGTTCCCATGGGTGAGTGGACACTCACCCACTCTTGGACCCCAACTGTTCTCCTGACTTGGCTCCATTTGCAATCAGCCCCAAATCAGGAATAGTGGGGAGAGTGTCAGCATGCAGGAGTCATTTATCAAGTGATGGAAAAGTCATTTGTGTGCTGGAGTCCCTTGGCTGCACCAGCTGTCGTGCGTGGAGCAGATGGAGAGCTGCAGGAACCCAGCACTGCTGCAGATGGTCCCAAACAGAGTTGTGGCTGTCAGGGGCTGAGGGGACACTCTCTGCTTTAGTGGCTTTCTTGGGCTTGGGAGGAAGCCTGGGAGTCTCCTTCTGGGGGTGGGAGACAGCGTGGCAGGAGTGCAGGCGTGACCTCTGCCGGGTGTGCAGCCCTCAGCATCTCCTCTGCCAAGAGCATGGCCATTCCCAGCACAGCTTGCTCATGCCAAAGCTCCATGGATGGGCTGATTCACAGGGCTTTGTGAAAATGGGCGGGAGAAACTCACCTGTAATTGCTAGAGGAGATACAGTTTCTATATAGCTCAGGGTATTGCTCATGGGAGGCCAAATGGTGTCCATAACATTGTGTTTTCTTTGTCTTGCAGCTGAGCTTGGTCCTGACTGAATGCAACCCTCCATGCCACTATTTCCTCTGCTGCACAGAAGATAATTGAAGGATGTTTCTCTTCTCCTGACTGCTGTCAGTCTGCTTTGGGGTACAGCCTGACTCCTCTTGGGGTTTGAGCAATACCCCACACTGCCTCCAGATGGATGAAGGGAACTAGATCAGCTGACAGAACTCATCCCTGTTTTAACTTTCTATGTGACTCTTTGGCTTCTTTTTCTTTTTTTTTTTTAATCTGTCTCTGCTATGGAGATGAGAGGCTCTGTTCCCTCTCCTTAAGTGTTGGAAGAGAGGGATCTGCTGCCCTGCTGAGCAGGCAAGGCTTTTGTTGTGTGATTAAGAATTTCTCCTTTTGTGGCCCTTAGTGGCTGGATGGTGGCAGAGAAGGGAACTCAACAGAAATCTGGTGAAGAATTGGTGTTTGAAAGAAGGATGGTGGGCAGGTCCTGAGTGTAAAAAGACTGCAAGGAGAATGTGATGTGAGTGCAAGGATCACTTGTCACTCTGTTGGTGCCAGCTGTGGGTAAAGTTGTCCCCTGTTTAGGATGCAGCCTCTATCCCTCTAGATCATCTGCTTTGAGGGACTCCCAGCTATTGGTCTCTGTGTACATAAATTACATTCAACTTAGTCCTGTTTTTTTTTTCTTTAGTTCCCAGATTATTCATTAATCAGTTATGTACTCATGCCAAAATATTCCTGACACTTTTTTCTGTCTCAGCAGGGCAATAGCAGCTTTGTTTCAAATAGCTGCTGCCTTCCTCTGCCTGTCTAAGGTGGAATGGAGATCTCCTCCTTTCCCAGGTGAGGAGCACTGACCACTGGTGTTATCTTCCTCCTCTGGGAAAGTGATTTGCTTATTCTCTGACCTGTGGGCTCCAGTGCCAGTGAGTGACACACTTCGAAAGTCAGATGTGGTGACACCTTGATAACTTGTGAGCTCTGTTCCTGAAGCTGTGCAGGGTATCTGGGAAATGGCTGCTGGAAGTGATCTTGGTGAAATGGCATCCTAGTGTATTGTTTGTGGAGACCGAGGCTTGCTGTGAACTTGAGGAAACAAGGCATTTCTGGCCTTGGGCCTGAGGTCTGCAAATCAGCTTCTAGGGTTGTTTCTGAGCTCTCCTATGTCTTCATACTTCATGATGATAACATGTCCCCCATCCCCTCTTTAGTCTCATTCCTACCTTCTTCCCGTGTCAACATAATTTTGCAACTTGTTTCTACCCTCCTGGAGGGGAGGGCAGCTTGTTTTTCCTCTTGCATCAGTGTGCTTTCTGCTTAAAACTTTCTGCCCCCTGGATTTTCTTTTTTTTTTTTTTTTTTTATGATTTTTTTTTTTTTTTTTTTTTGTATGCATTTAATAAAATTTGAAGAAGATGTTGTAATGGTGGCAACTCTTGAGAATTTTGTTCATGTAGGAGTCTGCAGCAAAGTTATTTTCCAAGACCTTGAAGCTCTGCTTGAATGTGAGTTGGAGGAGAGAAGAAGCATCAGTCTGAGTGACAAGAAGAAAAGGAGCTTGACATATGCAGGAAAGGGGCTTTCTGTGTGCCTGCCCCATTTAGATCCATGTTATTTTGCTGCATTTTTCATTGGGAGTAATTGCCTCTAAAAGGGGAAGGAGTGGTGCTTGGGTGAGCAGTGGAGCAGCCTGCAGAGACTTCCTGGGGAGTGTGATCAGCCAGGAGAAGCACAGAACTTATCTCCCCAGGTAATAGACCTGAGAAACATCACAGACTTAAACCAAAATCACTGGTGATGTCAGCTATTAAAAAAAAAAAAAATTTTTCCTCTGTATCCTGCTAATCCAGCTTTGATAAGGTCAGTATAGCTGTCTGTACTGGAAGCCAGCACACTAATGAGCTGATGGCTCTATCTGGAACCCTCTACCTTTTTATGGAAAAATCTTTTTATGGGGATGACCTTCCAAGTAATAACACTTTTATGGTGTAGAGACAATGAAGAGTTTCTGCTATCCTAACACTTCAGGAAAGTGTAGGTGAAGAAAGAGAGAATTCCAATATAACTTCTTGCTCTTATCTTTCTGCTGATTAGTACCCTTGTTCTCGCCATCCTCTGCTTCAGTTCTGAGAGGTAGGAATTCAAAGAGCCCTTGTTCTTCAAAGCACTGAGAAGCATGGCCCCATTTTCCTCCCTTCAGCTCTCCTCTACTGTGCTGGGATTTTCAGGTGAGGCTGGAGGAGTAGCAGTGTGGTGCAATAGAGGTGTTCTGGCTTGAGGTGAAAATAACACTGCTTTGCACGTGTGAAAACTGGTTGCACCAATTTTTCAACACAGTTCTGCAGCTGGCTGGTGGAAATGATGGCTGAAAACTTCTCCAGTTACCATTCTTGTGCCCTGCCAGTTTGGAGAGGGCAGAGAAGGCCCCAAAGGTTGTTTGTGTGAGATTCCTTCTCTAAGGAGAGTTAATTTGCAGAGTATATTTTCTCCACTTAAAGCCCTCAGGGACCTAGATGTAGTTTCAATAAACAGCTGCTGTAATTCAGGTTGTGGTGACAGCAGAGAAGCGAGCAGGTTATGGAAGACCAGAGCTCTCTAGTGGTGGTCAGGAACCAGGGAGAGAATTGGCTCAGAGCAAATGTGTGCAGCTCTTTATGAGGTACTTATATCTGCCAGGGGAAATGTTTCCACAGCTAAATTAACTTGACCATGTGCTGTTTCTCCTCCCAAAGTAACATGGTATACACATGGTGGTGGGACTGGCAGTGGGGTTACCAGAATATTGAAACCTTCCCCTACTTCCCCAAAAAGGAAAAAGGGATGCTGCAGCCCAGATATGCTGGATGTGCAATTTGGGCTATGCTAGGAGGGGATGAGGGCATGGAGGCTCATCTCTTCCCTCTGTAGGGACTGTGGCTGATTTGTGAGTGAAGGAGAGCAGGTTGGTGCCACTCTGCAGCAGTTACTGGTCTGGCTGCTTCCTATCTTTCCTCTGTTCATTTTTGCAGCACTGACATCTCAGAGGCTTTTGCTATGAGACCTTAGCTGTGTCTTCTCCTGAGACTGCTGTATTTTGAGCAAGGACAAACTGTCACACTGAGTTGAGTCTTGCAGGATTAGTGTTACCCTCAAAGCCTGGAGGAGAAGAGTGATGCTTTCCTGGTCCCTGTATCTGCTGGCAGCCTGCATCCCCTGTGCTGCCATGTTTCCCCAATTTACCATCCCCTTGGCAGGTTGGCAGTGCCCAAACAGAGGGACTGAACTCCTGTGTGGGCTCTCAGTGCTCTGAACTGGGAGCATACATTGAGGTGTTGCTTCACTACAATTTCTTCTTTACCCATCTTGTCTAGGTTATACAGAAGGGGAAAATCATTTTGGCAGCATTGGCTCTGAAATAAATCTGCAGGGGCTCCAGTGATACTGAAATGTGCTGCTTGTCTTTCTGTGGCAGGCTTCAGGGCTGCTTTTTTCCCAGCAAGGTTCAATAGATAACTTCCACATCATCATGGATGTATGCAAGATGGGATTGGAAAGTGTGGTCCATGACTATTGCAATGCCATAAAACAGCATTATCTAAACTTGTGGGAAACTTCAATTATGGAAAACTCAAGCCTGTTTTAAGTGTTATGTCTTTAGCACTTGTTCTGCCTTGAGACAGGGGAGTGGACTTGATCTGGTTCTCTTTCCAAGTATGAAATAATTACAGGCTCATTTTTACATCTCTCCTAAATGTATGTGTTCATGCTAATTAACAGATCTTTGCCCAACCCTTGTAGCTCTGCACTGGGCCTCTGGTGTGGTAATGGACACAAGAGTCTAGAGTTTCCAAATGACTTTGTTCCTTGAAATGTGTCTGCAGCTCCTGCTCTTTGAAGAAAAGGTCAGCCTTGGGGACACCTGAGCCTGAATGTCAGAGCTCTGCCTCCAGCCACCACCACCTTTGGGAAGGAAAATAAACAAGCTCAAAGAGCAGGGTGGCTATAAATACTGAGGTGGCAGCTGATATGCTGCTGAACAAGGTTCTGAGGTTGGTCTGTTGGTAACTCCTTGCCAGCTCAAGACACTTTCCCTGATGCTGCATTTTATATATATATATACACACATATATATCTAGCTATATATCTGTATATGAGCAGGTTAAGAGAAAAAAATGTATTTCACATTGACAGAAGTGCAGTTGGAGCTATTATTTACTTTAGAAATTGAACTGTTCTGAGGGTCCTGGTGTTCAGACAGGTGATTTCCCTGGAATTTTTGTGTTGAATCCCCTGAGGGTTTTGGTTGCAGTGGAATGATGTGATTTAGATCATAAATTTTCAGAAAGATGCTTGGTCTCTTCCTGATAACTCTTAGAAATACCAGCTTAGCAATGCTAAACACGGGCATTAAATAAATTAAAAAAGTGTCATGGACTTGGGACTTCTGAGAATGATGGGAAGAATGGAGAAACCACTGGGATTTATACAAGTAAGGCATGAAAGCAGCAAATTGCAAGTGTCATTATTCAGTGAGGTGCTTGGTTGGGTAGGTGGGCCTTCCCCAAGGTTGTGAAAGGGCTGTGAGTGGTTGCTGTGAGCACCTTCACTGGTTTCCTGCCTTGCACACCTCCTCTGGGGACACAAAGCAGCAGCTGCAGGCATTGGCCCTGATTCCCATCCTGCTGCTCAGTCGTCATCCTCACTGTCAGCCTGTCTCATCCATTTAGGTGTAAATAGTGTTAGGATGAGACTCAGCCTGTATCTTGAATGGCCAAACCTGATCCATTATCTTTGGAGAGATACCTCACCTAGATCTAGGGTGTCCAAGCAGGATCTCCTGAATCCCACAGGGATTGTGCCTTAATTGTCTAAAGCAGATGCAGCAAGGACATGTGCCAGAGCAAACAAATGAGAGATGGAGGAAGAGTCTACCACAAAAATCAGAAATCGATATTAGCTGAGAAAAAAAACCCGAAAAGAAATGCATTACTTACTGATGTGTAATTTGTTTCCATCTGAAATCATTTGCATGTTGGGAGCATCGTGTTACTCAGTTCAGTTTACAAAATTAACAGGTGATTGTTCCTCTGAGATCATGTCAGGTGCTGGTTGCTTGGGACCATCTAGAGCCCTGCAGGTAAGTTCAAAACATCAGAAAGAAAAGTGTTTATGGTAGCCACTAAGTACAAGAGGTTTCTCAAAAATAAATAAAGGGACTTTTTAAAAGCATGAAAAGTTCCACCACCTAAAATTAGTGTGAAGAGGGGCTATCGAGTAACACCATTGCATGCTCCCAACTTTGGCTCTGCAAAGTTCAGCATCTGAAGTACTGGAGCGGTGAAGGGCAGAG